CTCAGTGGTTGCACCACCTGCCTCGCAAGCACAAGGTCCCAAGCTCAATCGCCGGCACACACACAAAACCATTAATTGAAGAATATGAAAATTTATAATGCTATGTTTTATATTTATAGATTATTTTATGTGATATATCCATCATTTGCTTATGTTAGTTCCACAACAAAGTTTTTAGTCTTCTACAATGTAGTACATTTTAATATATTTGCTTTCATTTGAACCCTTCTAGCTCTGCTGATTTGTTTAACTATTCTTTCAAATTTTTGAAAAAAAGAAAATATTTTTTCTATAACTAACGAAAAAGGAATAAAGCAGCCCAAACCTCCATGAACAAATGAAATATAGGACAAAATGTGGTATGTACCTACAACAGAATATTAATCGGCCTTTCAAAGGAAAGGAATACTGTCAAGCTACAACATGGATAAAACTTGGAGAAAATACACTAAGTGAAGTAAACTGGTCACAAATGGAAAAATATTATATGGTTCCAATTACACAAGCTATATAAAGTAGACAAGTTTATAGAAATACTAGGGCCACTATCAGGTGCTGAGAAGAGGTGGAAAGAGAATTTATTGTTTAATGAGTATAGTTTCCATATTGAGCTTTACATTTAAAATGACTACCGTGGTATATTTTGTTTTATGTTTTTCTACCATAATAAAACATTTTGGAAAATATTTGAATACTTTAACAGAAATATTAAATGCAAAGGACAGCAAAAATGTCTCTTTTACATGAAAAAAAGTAAGTGTCAAGAAAAATATATAATAAGAGTATATCAAATGATGATTATCTGAATTGATGTTATTGGAGCCTTTCACGGTTCGAGAATAGGGCAAAAATACTAATTAATATGTCTATTTAAAATGTAGACTGATGAAAAGAGAGTACCAAAAAATACAATATACAGTTAAAACTTTCAAAGCAACAGAAAAAAAGGACAATGAGAGAAAACAAAACGTAATTTGGTACACTGCATAAGAAGGAGAAGAGAGAGAACAAATGAAGGGGATTACATACAATGCGTCCATTAAAAATCACACAAATGTAAATGTTAACATTTTAAAATATAAAACCAAAAATCATCAAACACCAAATAAAAATAAAACTGAGTTATGCTATGTAAAAGGGATATACCTCGGACAAAAAGGTCACAAACCAATTGTCTAAAGCAGGACAAGATATATCAGGCAAAAATACTAATCAAAAGAAAGCACGACTTTATTAAAAATCAGACAAAGTAAAGGTTTGAACTAAGATACAACAAGAGATAAAGAAATTCATTATATAATAAAAAGTTTAATCAGAAAGAGATAATAGATGATATATATATATTTATATAATGATCCAGCATAAAATATATAAAATGAAAATGAAAAACTGTAAGGGGCAATTAAAAATATATCAAAGTAGTGATTAATAGAAGCATAGCTTTCTAAATATTTGATAGACAAACCAGACAAGAGCAATAATGTAGAGAACCTATGAACAGTACAGTAAGAAAAATTAAGGTATATATAAAAATTCTGCATACAACCTTTGAACAAAACATATTCTTAAATCATAGATTATTTTTATACATATTGGTCACCTCCAAAGTCATACCAGCCTGAGGCTGTTTGAAACACTCAGGGCAGAGGCCATGGTCCCCATCCAGAGGTGACTAACGGGCAAATTAATAAAAAAAAGGTGATTAGAAAAACAACGTATGTTTGCAAATAAAAACATATATGTTGCTTAAGAAAGTGAATTGAGAATAATAGAAGATAAAATCATTAGAATTGCAAAATAACAATAATAATATATGTCAAGCTGTTTCAGATATGGTAGTATGTAGGGAAAAATCATTGCCTTGAATATTTATACTGGAAATAAAACATCCTTGAAATTAGGAGCTAAGCTTTCAATTTAAATTAGAAAAAGAATAAAATCAAATATTAGAAGAAAAAATAAAGACACAAGATATGAAAACAAGATAACATTGTTCATTGGCCATTTATATGAAGTCAATTTATCTACTAATCATCTTAAATAATATTAAGAAAAATAAATAAATGATGATAGTTTTGTTGTTTTCTTCCTACCAGTAATATTTTGGAAAATATAGTTTTACTGGTAATAATTTATATAAGAAAAGTGAATTAATTTTGAAAGCTAATGGTATGAGTATTTTAACTAGTAAGATGAACTTTTATCTTGCTGTTATGAAATAATTTACTTTAATCTTGTTCCAAAACTTTTCAAAATGTGTAAGTTTCCCTTTTTTAAAACAGGCAATTTAAACTTCCTCTCAAAATTGATCATCTTTTAAAATTTAGTCTTCAGAAACTTTTTAAGAATGATTTTCATATGTTTTCAGGGGCTTATTAAAAGAACCTAAGCAGAAATTGATTAACATATATAACCACATTACAACAGAGACTTCTAATTATTAAATATAACTACAAAGATCTATGGATGCATTCATATATTTCAAGTCAGCTGTAACTGTTTGCATATAAAAGTATTTACGTTACACAAATATTTTACCCAGAGTTTTTACTGTACATGTTGAAAGGCACTGGACAGCTCCTACCTATGATATTTTTTAGCAACATTCAATTATAAGGAATATCAATGATTTTGTTTGGTTTGGTTTTGTTTTGGTGTTGGGGATCAAACCTAGAGCCTTTTTTTTTTTTTTTTTTTTTGGTACTGGGCATTGAACTCGGGTCCTTGCGCTTGCACAGCAGGCAGTGAAACCATATCAACCATTTTTTAAACTACAATGTCATTGTACCAAAGCTAATGAGTGTATTTAAACAATTCGCAATGAATTAAACACGTCATACAATGACTAGTAGAAAATAAAGATTAATATCAATGCTTCTTTATATAATACAGATTACAGGTCTCAGATTCTCTTTTAAAACAGAATCTAGAATAAATATATTTGTTGACTTCATTTTGTAATTATTTTAAATTTTATAATCAACCAAGCAAACCAAATATGATAAGGAGAATTTTGTCTTCTTTTTCAATTCTTGCATGTTTAATTCCATTTTCTTGCCTTAACCTGCTGACTATGAGTTCCAACAAAACATTGAAAATGCAATAGTGGCAACAGAAATTCTTGGTGTTTTTTTTTAACTGTCTCAATAAAAATACTTTCTCCATTACCCAATAACAGTGGTATATATATTAATATTTTTTATTCTCCAAGATTTAAAAAGTATCTTCTCTTCCTAGTTTGCTCATGGTTTGTTGTTTTTGCTCAAATATTAATAGAACTTTTTCTTTATCTGAGATACTCAGCCAATTTTTTTTCTCTCCATTCCTCATCCAATTATTACATACACACATGTTAATTACATACATAGACAGACAGATCGACCTACATACATATACAAGCATATATCTCCATTTGATTTGGTTATTTGGGTAGAATTTGTACATCTTGATATGTGAATATCGGGTAGGTCTCCTTTTCTTTCTTTCTTTCTTTTTTTTTTTTTGGTAAAGGGGATCGAATTTGGGACCTTGCGCTTGTGAGGAAGGCGGCAGAGCCACTGAGCTAAATCCCAGCTCAGCTTTCCTTTTCTTATACTTCCTTTATCAGAAATAGCCAAGTAAATAAGAGAATATATCTTCTTTATTTCTTCTTTGTAAGAGTTTTATACAGAAGACTATTATTTATTTCTTCCTTCAATGTTGAGCAGATAGCAATAAAGCCATTTGAATCTGAGTTTTCCTCTTTAGAAAAAAATCTAACTATCCAGTTATCTAGTAATTCAACTGCTTTGGTGTTTATAGAAGAATTCAAGCTTTTTTATTTCTTTTGAATAAGAACTTGATAATATTTTATAAGAATTTGCTTTTAAGTTATAATTAGATAATATTCTTTTATTCTCATTTTAATGTAGACATCATCTATAGTTATAATAATCTCTTCTTTCAAATTTAAATAATTGTGCTTTCTCTATTATTTTTTCTTGATCTTTTTTCAATTCATATTTTTTAAAATCAGTTCAAAATAGTAACTGTTTTCATACTTGTTGGCATTTTATTTTCACATTATCAGTTTCAGCTTTTATTGCTTTCCTATTTAAACAAGTTCTGTTTTATTTCACTTCTCTTTTCTAACCTCTTTAGATAGTGTTTGGGTCTAGATGTCCCCTCAAAGCCACATGTAGTCGTACAAATGATCTAGTATGTGTGAATGGAATTGATTCATGATGCAGTGCTAGGCTCAAGGGCACTAGGATTAAGGGTGTGAATGCTAACTGCCCTAAGTAGTATGAATAAAAGGGGCACAGAGATGCTGTTAACTTCCCTCTCTTGTTACCTTTGCTGCCTTGTATGTGCCACGCCATGTTGTTTCTCCTCTGCAATGCCTGTTTGCCATCCCTGCCTTGGAGTCACTGATTATGGACTGAAACCTCTATAAACTGTAAGCCAAATAACCCCCTTCCCTTCTAACTTTGGGTGCGGTTATTTTGTCTCAGCAACAAGAGAGAAAGGTAACTAACACAGATAGCTTATTCATTCATTTTTGCCTGCCCATTTCCTAATCTAAGGATTTAAGTCTAGGAATTTTCTTTTAAGTGCTACTTTAGTGACATTTTACAGTTTTGGTATTCAGTATTTTTATAGTTATAATTAAAAAGAATTTCAAATTTTAATATAATTTCTTCTTGGCTAAATTTAACATTCAGCTCTATATTTTAAATTTTTAAATGTGTGGCTTTTTAAAGTATCTTCCTGATAATGACTTTTTAACTTAATTTCATTATGTCTGAGAATATAATTTGTAATATTTCAACCCTTCTAGGGCATTTACATTTTAAAATTATATCATTCAAAAATTCCTAATTTGAGCAATTTCCACTGTTAATTTTCTCTGAGTATCTGAAGAATGAAGTAAGAATAAATGATAAAGAAAACTATATGTGACAATAATCAACATTTTGCTTGTGGGAGCCTAAAATAGAACTAGTGAGGGTTTAAAGTACCTTCTCCCCTGGGGTCACGGAGACCCTCCAGATGCAGTGTGTATAAGAAGGGTAGCCATTTGGGAAACCTGGAGAGGAAAGGTTGCCATTGGATTCTTGTAGAGTCTCTCCACAAGCTGAAAGGAAAACAACAGAAGATGATCCTTTACCTTTTAAATGAAGACCATGGATATCATTAGCAATGTGATAAACAAATGGTATATATTTGTATTTTATCAAAGACCTTTCTAAGTCAATTTTTTATGTCTTCTTATCAGAATTTCAGTGCACTTGATAGCATCAGTAGAGCTATCCATAAAACAAGACTGAGTTAAATAATCCTATATCCATAAACAACTCGCTCATTCATTGCTGGTAGCCAATTTAAAGGGCACCTATATTGAGGCTCAGGTTAGTGAATACCTCCTTGATGTATCTCTGGGACCAGGAAACAGTCCATTGATATATTCTTCATGAAATGAGACAACCATTAACACTGAGGACCATTTTAAGATTAAACAATATTAAATGACAACTAGAAGTAATCAAAGCAGGTGGCATTGAACTATCACACACAATGAATTGTTTTCAAAATGAGAAAAATATTGAAAACTAAAAACTTGGAACATTAAAATATATCAAAAGGATCTACGTATTTATTGTCTCTTTTATGTTGATCATACATAGAAATTGCTAGATAAACAATTCGTACTTTTGCTTTTACTGAGCATGTTTTATTCCTTGGAAATAGTTAACAGGTATCTGAAATAGCAAATTATCAGCTGCATAGCATTAAGATCTGCATTTGGCCAAAGCCAGGCAGCACCATTCTATTTTGGGTTTTCCTGTTGCTTTTGCAAGAGGTGGTATAGAGCACACAAACCTAGACTGATCCACGTGTGCTTACTCAGAATGACTCTTCCAGTCCAGCCAGTCATCTTTCTAACCTTCTCTCCACATGCCGAGAGAACAGTTCCTTCCCTCTGAAGGAGACTGCGATCAAAATGGAGACATTACCATATTCCATATTCCATAGCCAGAGCTACCAGCAGGTGAACTCTCATCTCATCAAACCCCGAATAAATTATAAATAGGTCTGCATATTTTGTGTTAAATAAAGAAAGGGAGATAATGGCTCTGAACATATAAGACAGAGCTACAAAAACAGTCTAACACAATATAAATATTTATTCAGGAGAACAGATATTATGGTTTGCACTACAAAATAAATCTAATGTAGGAGTAAGTGAAGTTTATTCTGATGAACCAGGCAGGTAAAAGGAAACAGATCAAAATGAAACTCCTCAAGGTCAAAACTGCATAAGTTAGCACTGTTCTATGCAGTATCTAGGGCACTGGATAAATGCCACATTACAAGAAGCCCTAGAAAAATGAAAATGTGTTAAGAGTCTTCTTAATATAAGCAATATGTCTAAAGTAGCATCAGGTAATATGCTAAATAATGATTTGTGAGTTGAGTGTTTTTCTCTGAAAAACTTCACAATTCACAGCAGTTTAAAAGTAACTTCTATGATGACTCAAAGCCCCTCTGAACCAGAGAAAATACTGGCACTGGTTTTGTTAAAGCAGAATTGAACAATTAACTAATCCACAAATACAAATGATACTGTTCTGATTAAGAAGAAACTCTCTTACGAAACATAAAACAAAATATAACACATAATTGAAAACTTCAGTCCATTAAACAGTGCCTATTTGTAACGCAAGAAGAACAGACATCTGAAGTTTAGGTAATCACTCGTTACTGTTCTTCAATAAATGATTGTCCCAGGCTACATATCCCTATTGCACAATATGCGTCAGCACTGTTCCCAGGTGTTTATTGATTTATGTTCAGATATTTTAAAACTTTATTATTCAAAGAGCTAAAAGAAATTTTAAAAAGAAAGGGTAGTACTGTTAAATTCAAACAGTCTGTCTTTCAACAACAAGGCAAAGGGACAGAAAGGCAAATTTAAGTGCTCAAATTGTCATTTATCAATTGTGCTATCCCCTTAATAAGGTTGTTTTGTGGGAGTCAAATATGCTGTTTTCTTAACCCTGAAATAACTCTTTCACAGGTAAGGTAAATCAATGATTGCAGGGTAAAATTATGTCTTTGAAATACAACTACTTCCTGAGTGATATTTGAGAAAACAAAAGCATATTAATTACAAAGAAGCAAATTGCTATGATCAGTGTTTCAATAAAAATTATAGCACCACAATGAATAACAGGTAAATCTTAGAAGCATCTTATATCAACAGATGAATGGATAAAGAAAATGTGGTATATATACAATGGAGTACTACTCAGCCATAAAAATGATAGAAGTGAGTGATTTGTAGGAAAATGAATGCACTTTCAGACCCTAATGCTAAGTGAAATAAATCTGACACAGAAGGTTAAATATTGCATGGTTTCTCTTACCTGAGAAACTCAAAATATAAATAATTTAAAGGGAGAAATAAAAGATAGATGACAGAAAACAGGGAGATAGATATTGTGGGGAAGGGAAGGGGTTCTGGAGATGGGCAGACAGGCAAAAGGGGAGAGAAAGGTGAAGGTAAATGGATCAATTCCCCATGATAGATACACTTATTGCTTATTACAAACCACAAACATACACTAATTGTAAAAAAGGGAAAGATTATTTCTTTAAAGAAGATGTAAAAATTAAAACCACCATTATTATTTGACACAGTTCACTGTTGAATTAGAGAATATTCATGTATTCTCTTCTTCAACATGGAAAGTTGGACTTGAATTGTATGAACATAATTTAAATGGTGTATTGTTCAATAATTACATATTCACATTCTTTTAATAGCTGGGTATAATTTACAATGGACTACACAATCTTCTACAAATATTATTCCTGACAAATATCTATAGCATTGAACAAATATCAAAGGTTGAAAATCTCACTTTCTCCATATTCTTCAAGAATACATTTATAAACAGGGCATGGTGTCACAGGGCTGTAATTCCACCACTCTGGGAGGCTGAAGAAGGAGGATGGAAAGTGTGAGACCAGCCTGGGCAATTCAATAAGAATTTTTCACAGAATAAAAATAATTTGAAAGAGGGCTGGGGATGTAGCTCAGTGCAAAGGTCCTGGCTTCAATCCCCAAAATAAAAAAACTATATAATTTTACGAAGGATCATAAAAATTGTGGTTGCTACACAATAATTTGTAGTATTAAACTAATATCCAAATAAATAGATGAAATCTAGTTTAAGGAAAGAAATAAAAATATGTCTAATCAACTTAACAGTATCTAATTTATTTAAATTATTCATAAATCCATGACTCTTAAAGTTTTAAGCATTTAAAAAATTATTTGTTTTAAAGTGATTTTCAGAATAAAGGAAACAGTAAAAGAAATGCAAAGCCATTAGCTGAATAATTAAGTTTAGATAAATTGCTAGAAGATTTAAAATACATTTTGGTAGTAACTGCGTAGCTGTGCCTGAAATATATTTGAAGTCACTTATATAACACGAGAGATTCTTACCTTCGAAAGCTCTTGTATTTTTAGATATCAATTTATCTTACAATTTTCTTATTTCTCTCTGCTAGGCAATTGTACACTTTGGATTTTAGATGTCCCCCAAAGCCCGTGTAGTAAAGGCTTGGTCCCCAGCATAGTGCTATTGGGAAGTGGTAGAAACCTGAAGAGGTGGGGCTTAGAGGAATCGTGCAGGTCACACAGAACACACCCTTGAAAGGAACAAGGGAGCACAGCCCCTTTCTTATCCTGTCACTGGCCAGCCATTAGCTGAGCAGCTCTGCTGTGCTATACCTCAGCCATGATGCGCTGCTCTGCCACAGGTCCCCGAGGAACTGCACCCATCAATAGTGGACCGGAATGGTCAAAACTGTGGGCCTAAATAACATCTACTTATTTATAAATTGTTTATTTCAGGTATTTGTTACAAAAATTAACAGAACAGAAAGCTGACATGTCACATGCTTAACTAAGGAAGATTGAGAAAACCAAAAATGTGGAAAAATATTAGTGTTAATACTTGGTCTAAGTTATAAAGTAGTTTTAAGCAGAAAGATCATGGAATTGCAGAAAAACTTAATGAGGACAAAATGCAAATAAAGACTAATGACTATGCAATAAGAGTTAAATTGAGTATTTTAGTAATAGGAAAGAAAACTAGAGCAGTCTTACAATTACAGCAGAGAAAAACACATCTAGAAAATAAAAATCACAAGAAAAAAAGGGCCTCAAGAAAGATCAGATAGCAAATTAATCATTGAAGAAGAGCAAAGGTGCTATAATTCATGTGCTCTAGAAGAGATCACCTTCACAAGCAAACTGCTATTACTGAGATAAAGGATGAGGAAGAGTTGCCATGGTGACCCATTCTTCACCCCCATGTGGATACTTCCTGTCCTAATACTAGAAAGGCTTGGAGGCCATCACAAGGACACAGGATTGTCTTTTGAGGAGTAAAGTCTGGAAATCTATCCAATTCTAAGGTTGAGCAGCTCTGCCTTCCCTCCCCATGCCCTTTCTGAGGCTCATGATGTGATAGTTTGGGAGTGTCTTATCTCAGCAGTGTCAGGCTGGGAAGGATCGTTTTCATCTTCTTTCCTTATACAAGGATTCATAAGAAGACTTTTTTGACCTGTCTCTAAAATTAAGAGCAAGAAATTACAATGAAAACAATTCTAGATGATAAGAAACATATCCTATTAGCATCACCTTAGAAATCTAACTGTACACTTGAGTTCTCATGATGAGTAGGCATTGGCTATACAGTAAGTAAAGTTTCATGTACCAATTTAACTTAAATTTGAGCATTCATACTTAGATAAATATAAAACTGGATTACAAGATATTTATTAGCTATAAAGTTTCATACAATAACAATTAGCATTACCTTAAAATTTAAAAATATACACATTTTTAATGTGGCTCAGCTTCTGATCAATTATTTTAAAACCATAAAACCATTCTTTGTATTATTCAAGAAGAAGCAACAATATTCACAGTCTATTAGAAACTTCGCCTTTTAAACTCGGGGCACTATATATCAAAGATCATAAAAGCCTTAACCTTGTCTCTAACTATATACATTACCAGACCAGTTCTCCTTTCAAGATGAAACTATGAAATGGCTCTATAAAATGTAGAGCAAATGGGGTTTTGATTATAAACTGATGAGAAAAATGTTGACATAAAATGTAATTAAATACATTTTATTGACTCTACTCACCAGTAATTTCTAAGAGTAAGAACAAGGCAGATTCCAAAGGCACACACAGTGTAACTTATCTTTTACTTCTCCCTTGATCCATGTAATTCATAAGCTATAATGCAGCAATGTGCCTTTTATAGTACTTTAAAAATACAAGATGATGGTGCTTTTATGAAGGTAGTTTTACTGTACTAAACAAAACCATGTGTATATTAATTATGCCCATTTATGTGTATTTACATGATACCTCAAGTGGAAACTACTAATTATCTTCCAGTTAATAACTAAAATATGAAAAGCCATAGCTTAAGATTTAATTATATTGTCATAATTTCATTGCTCTTTCATTCCTGACTGTCCTACAATTCAATATTGAAACGCATCTCAGTGTGCTTTTTTATGTATATGCATACAAAATGTGATCAAAAAATAAAATGAGTGTCTAATTTTTACAAATACTTATGACAGTAAGACAGACACAATGCCATCAATGCCCCTCAAAATACTCCCTCTCTCTTCAAAAACACTTATTCCATCATTATTATTTTTTAAAAAATTCTTTTATTGGTACATTTTAGGTATACAACACAATTACATTTCTCATTGGAAACTTGTACCTATACATAATGCATCTTGGTTCTTATTTTTTCCCCATTCCTAGCCCTCCCTTCACCCCCTCCACAAAGACTTTATTTCCATTTTTTCCATTCCTCATCATTTTTCCTTTCCCTTCTTTCCTTTCCCCTGCCCCTCCCACTACCCCTACCCCTTTGGACCTTTTCTTCCTATTTTGCATTATCGGTTATTCATTCTAATCATTGGTACATTTTAGGTATACAATATAATGACATTCATCATTGGAAATTTGCACCTTTACATAGCCTCTCTTGGTTCCCATCTTTCACCTTTGCCCAGCCCTCCCTTCAACCCCTCCAGTCCTCCCTATTTACAAAGATTTTGTTCCTATTTTTCCATTTTCTCATATTAATTCCATTCCTTTCCCCTACCCCTCCCACCTCCTTCCCCTTTGCCCCTCTTCTTCCTATTTCACATTACCTATCATACCTTTTAGTCCCCATTTGCACTTTCAGTTTTCTCACACCAGAGAAACTATTCAGTATTTATACATGTGTGTCCTATTTATTTCACTTAAGAGTATCACCTCAATGTGCATCCATTTAGCTATAAATGTCTCCGATTTCTCATTTTTTATGGGTGAGTAGTACTCCATTTTATTTAAAAAAACACATTTTCTTTATCCAGTCTCCAGTTGATGGGCATTTGGTCTGTTTCCAAGTTTTAGCTATCACAAACTATGCTGCTATGAACATGAGTGCACATATATCACTGTGGTATGATTCTTTCAATTCTTTGGGGAAGATCCATCATTATTACCAATCTCTGAAACAGTTAAGGAAGTACTCTTTCATGAGTGACTTTAGTTGGGCTGTCGGGGCTGTCTCAGTGTCCTGACCGGATTCAAAATGTTTACTTTTCATGGTGATCTTGGCTTTAGGGAAAAGTCAGAACTCAAATAGTGCCAAGTCCACTGAGTAGTGTGGGTGAGGACCTACTGGAATGTTCTTACGAGACTGCCTTTCCATTGGGGGGCCCTCGGCGGCAGCATGCACCATAGTTGTGATCATACCTTGTAACACACTAATGAAAGAGAACTTCCAGAACTGCTGAAAAAGTGACAAGAATTATGGCATAAGTGTGTTCAAAGTGAGGACGAGTATTTGAGTGGACCTAATGCCAATGGGTCCTTTAATGTAATAATTTCTACAAATTTAAATATTCACTGTATATTTTGATCACACTAGGTACAGTTAAGGAAGTAAAATAGTTTTACAACCAAATAGTCAATTTATTTAGTTTCTATTAATCGTATAATCTTCCCCTTTTTAAAGTTAAGAAACATATGTCAGATGTTATTGAAAATTAGTGAAGGATGATCCTTATCTTGACCCATAGTGGTGCCATTCTCTTATAAATTCATCTTTCCTATAGGAACTTGCAGTAAAAACTAAAATAATACCACCTAAGCATATATATTTTACATACATATATAAAATATTTTAAAGGCATTTATTAAAATATGAATCCAACTTCTGAAGTAAATTGAACATTAAATAGAAGTATCTTTATATATATGAAAAATTATAGTATATAGTTAGACAAGTAGGTACAGATAGATTTATGTACAAAGGAAAGCAATTTAAAGCTTACTTTAAATATGAAACATTAAGTTGTAAAAGTTTTTAACTACAACTTTAAATTTCAATCTACTGAAAATGTACTCCTGAAAACTTAATGGTCCTAAATTATAGATTACCTATTAAGATTAAAATTAAAAATAATTTACAGTTTTCCTTAGCAAATGTGATTTTAATGGAGAGGAAATCACTTCTCTTAGAAGAAATTTTAGCAAAATCTATTGAGTAGAATCAGTAAATGAATGCCTATGACCATACTGAATTATGAACTTTCTAATTATTTCCTGTGATTCTTCAACCAATTAACTTTTTTATGGTTTGCAGTTTATCTATTCAACAAAAGGGATCTAAACCATATGCCAGTAAGTACATTTTATAGTTTTGGGAGGGAAGTAGCTTGTCTTCCTCTATGTCCTAAAGGGAAAGTTTTCTGGACTAACACTGCAGTCATAATAAACTGAATAGACCAATTTCCCAGGAAATTAACAGATCAATTTTAAATAATTATTACGATAAACATTCAATGATTAATATATCCACCATATCTCTGATTTTTTGCAAAAAAATTGTTAGTCTACCAGCCACTTAAAACTTTTCTCATTATGTTACCATCTGCAAGTGTAGTAGCCAGACCAATACCTCCAGAAATCCATTCCACAAATTGCTATCAGGAAAAAGGAAGATTATTTGGACAAATAATTTGAGGAAAGCTGTGTTAAGTAAAATTAAGCATGTTTCTTTGCTGAGCATACAGGAGGTAAATGGAGACTGAAATATTTCCAGTTTGGAACAAAATCTTTTTGCTTCTGGGGTCATCACCATACTGCTGCTCCATTAGAACATTCTGATCAAGACCAACTTTATTCATTAACTTTATTCAGTAGCAAAATATATACTAGGTCATTAGCAAGTGGTTAGCACTTTTTTTTGTAACAGATTTGTAAACTCTTACTTATTAAAAAAAAAAAACCTTTTAGTTGATGCTAGGGGTTTAACCCGGGGCCTTTGCACTGAACTCCATCTCTACTCCATTTATTATTTTTTATTTTGGGACAGGATCTTACTAAATTGTCCAGGCAGAGATCAAACTTGCAATCCTCCTGCATCAGCCTCCCAGTATCCTGGGATTATTTCCCTGTGATTACTACCAGGCCCAGCTTGATAAGATTTTAGCTAATATACCATTAATGATGGTTCTTGCAAGGAAAGGGTCACTCAGGATGTGATTCTGAAAAGACATTCTTTTTATGTAGACAAGGAAAGAGCATTTCACTGTAAGTCTTGTAACTACTCGCTAATGATCAAACCACCATTCTATTTGGCTCTTTTACTCATTAAATGAAAAGAAATTAAATTAAAATTGAATTAATGATTAAAGGAAAAGAAATTCTTGTGCTTAAACTTTAATATCTAGCAATTTATTTTTATTTATAGCAATGGGCATTTCCATGTTCTTCTGTACCTTACTTTACGATTATTGACTTTGAACTGTACACATCACTTGCCAGCACAGAGAAAGACAAGTAAACACTTGAGTAACTCATGGTTTGTGCATCCAGAAGAGCACAGTCAGGCATGACTATGCTTCCATATTGTATGGTGCAATACCTGGACATCTATACAGCTTTCTTGCCTGTGCAATGTCTCCTTTGCTTAACCGGGTCCTCTGGCCAATTGCTGGCCGAATGCCATTGTCATCACGGGAGGGGAGAATGGTGTCCAGAAACATCCCCCTGAAAAGAAACAGACACAGGCCATGCCTAAGTCACCAAATCAAAACTCACATATTCTTAACAAACCTAAGGTTATCACTTTGCAAATTTAAATCAATCAAAGGAGAACTATGCCAGTATAAGCTTTAAACAGTGCTAGAGGTTTCCAAAACACGTTCATCAAAGTAAAAATAAAACTGTTAAATGTGTGTGTCTCACATAAAGTCAATGATGACATTTGTTTTTCCTTAGAAATGTATACGATATGCTTACAAAAATATGAAATAATTATAGTCTCCCAGAAAGTCCAGGATGGCTTTTATATTACTCTCCCATGAAGGTCTGAGAACCCCTTTGGTTAACAATTCACAAAGCAATCCTTCCCCATAAATAAAAAAAATGTAAGCATCAAACCAAAAGTTAAATTTGGGGGGGTTAAAACAGTCATTTAGTGTATTATTCTTAGAAATCCAAGTGTTATTACAGTATATAATAAAGAACAAGGAAACAAGACTGTCAAATTTACACACAACAATATAAAACAAAATACATAAATTTATAAATATATAATTTTTTCAATTTTCCATGGCTAAATCAATAAGCAAAAAATTTAGTCAATGTCTTAATAAGGTTGAACTACAGATTCTGAGTTAGATTCCAGGTTGTGGTAGAAGACTTCCTATTTTTCCTAATATGCATAATTACAATTCTGACTACAGTGTACTAAATATGCAATCTAATTTTACAAAGTATATCAAACATTTATAACTTTAAAGGGAGCACTAAGCTGGACTGAGAGACTGATCCAAGGAATTTAAAAAATATGAAGGTTATGGGTGTGGATTTCCAAAATAATAAAAAATAAAAGGTGGAATTTGCACAAAAATATTTTATATTATACATTTCAATTACAGATTATCTTCTAAATTCAGATGAGACTTTCCATTCCAAATTTTTAAATAAATATATTACTTTTAAAGCACAGGGTAACAGAACAAAACTATTAGCTCTAATTATTCCTTCCATTACCAAATAATTATTAAACATTGTTCTTGGTCTGAATTTATAGTGGTAAAAAGAAATAGAAATTCTTCCCTTTACAATTTTAACAGTGTAATGGGAGAAAGGGGATAACCCAGGTAGTCAAAGGTACTACGGGAAAAAAAGTAAAGATGAGAAAATGGATGTTGATTGCACACTGTTATATAGCTTTTACATAGAGTAATGAAAAGAAAATACACTTAGAGTTTCACATTGAAGTCAAAATTGAAAGAAGTGAAGTTCAGAGGTATATATGCAACTGGGAGTAGAGTTCCCAGAAAGAATAACAAAGGTAACAGGTCACAAATAAGGTGTCCCTGAAAGAGGTTGAACATCTGCCAGAGAATTTGATTCTTATCCAAAGATAATGGTTAATCTGTAGAAAAAAATAGTAAACAGATGAGTAATATGATGCATGAGTAACACAATGTATGAGTAATTTATGACTAAGCTCTTTAGCTGTTATATAAGAAAAAAGATGACTGGGCTGAGGATTTAGCTCAGTGGTTTCGCCACCTGCCTCACAAGCAAAAGGACCTGAGTTCAATCCCCGGTACCAAAAAAAAAAAAAAGAAAGAAAGAAAAGAAAAATGATGACCTTTAGATATGGCCGGATAGCTCAAATGGAGAGACTCTGACTTTTTAAACCCAGATCTACAAAATACACAAAACAACATATGTATACTGCCTGAGAGAGAGTAAAGATGTAGAGACAATGATTTATGGGAAGTGATCATTAAAAGTGATCATGGCACCTATTGATAAGATGCCACTTCAAGTACAACAATGTAACTGAAAAAGTAGGTTAAATTATAAAGTAGCAGTGAAAACAGCCGTTCTTCAATGATGCTTCATGAATCAACAGATATGGTAAGTGGGCAGGTCTAAATTAATGAAGTGTTACAATTTCTGTAGTTACTCATTACTAATAGCACCATTTTCTCCTTCTAAAAATAAATTTATTATCTTCAAACTTTCTTTTTTCCAGCTTTCAAAGAAATTCTATTTAAATAGAACCTTTGACAGAGGAGCCAAAAATCTGTGCTGGAGGAAAGATAGCCTCTTTAACAAATAGTGCTGAGAAAACTAATTACACATGTGAGAAGACTGGATCTAGACCCATGTCTCTCACCATCTAAAATCAAGTTGGATCAAAGATTTAAATATTAAAACAGAAGCAATCTGCAGGAAGATAAAATAGCTAAAATTCTTGAAGACATAGGCATCAGCAAGGACTTTTTGAACAGAACCCCAATTGCATAAGAAATAACATTAAGAAAAAAATAGAATCATATCAAGTTAAACATTTTCTGCACAGCAAATGAATCAACCAACAGAGTGAAAAGACAACCTACAGAATGGGAAAAAAATTTTTTCCAGAAACTACTTAGAGGATTAATATCTAGAAATATATAAAGAACTAAGAAAAAAAAACACCTAACCTTCCCCAAATAAAAAATCCAGTGAAAAATGGGCAGCTGAATCGAATAAACACTTTGCAGAAGAATAAGTACAAATGGACAATAAATATCATGAAGAAATGCATCACATCATTGGCTATTTGAGAAATTCAAATTAAAACAACACTGAGATACCACTTACTCCAGGAAAAATGGCCATCACTGATAAATCAAATCAAAACAAATGCTATTGCCTTGGAGGAAAATAGAACCCTTCTACATAGTTGGTAGAAATATAAACTAGTACAACCACTAAGGAAATCAGAATGGCACTTCCTCAAAAAACTAAAAATAGAAATTCCACTTAACTCAGCTATTTCACTGCTACATATTTTCCCGAAAGAGTTAAAGACATCATGTTGTACTGATACATGCATTCCCATGTTTATGGCAGTACAATTCATAATAGTTAAATCTTGCCAGTAGCCTATGTGCCATAAAGAAAATATGGTATTTATACACAATGGTGCACTATTTTGGCATAAAGAAGGATAAATTTGAATCATTTATAGGAAAATGGATACCTGTTGGGACAATAATGTTAACTGAAATAGTCAAGATGCAGATGGTTACATATCATATGATTTCTCTTATATTAGAAACATAAGTATACATAAATTAGAGAACAAAATAAAAGATAGGTAACAGGAAGTAGCTAGACAGATCTTTTTCAAAAGGGATACAGATTGAGATGAAGGGAGAGGGTCCAGAGGGAAGGTGAAGTAAACAGAATTAACACATGTTACGTACATGTACAAACTCTAATAAAAATTTTTAAACATTAATGCATTGCTGGAAGTAAATGTTAAATTTTAATGAAATAAATTTGTTTTTAAAATTTGTTTTTTAAAATAAATAGGCCCATGACATTTTGGAGTGCATATACTTATTCAGACAGCAGAATGCTTTAATTTGGCTCATTCCCTCTACTGTGGTAACCTCTCCTCCATTTCAAAGAGGGTCCATTACTTATTCCTTTGTTCTTTCTTTCTTATCAGAAGTTAATGATCCTCTTTCACCATGTTCAGGCCAGTAAGAAAAGTAAGCTCTTCCTAGACTTCCTTACTGAGGTACTACCAATGGGCCTGAGACAGAGTGAACTAATCTCCACTCTCCATTTGCTCCAGTCACAATAAAAGGGCAATTTAGCCCAAGGAACTTTGTAAAAATTTACAACTTTTTTCTTAATTAAAAATGGGCGGGTCTATAGTTTCCAAGCATCAATGCACATTCAAGCTTCATAGATACAGCCTTATTCTTCTCACAAGTGAGTTCCTAAATCTACTGATGGGCTACATTCATGAAAACAACTGGAACTTTTATAGCCTGTTCAGAATCTACAAAAGAAACCAAATACAAAGAACTACAAAACTTAAAATACTTATATTTTCGGCATGAAGAACAAAAATTTTATGATCACATCTATTAATGCAAAAAAAAGTATTTGACAAAGTTCAACATTCTTTCATGATAAACTCCCAACAATTAGAAATAGAAAGAAATTATTTCAACATAATAGAGGCCATATGTAAAAAGCCCACAGGTAATGTCACACTCAATGATAAAAAGCAAAGCGTTTTCCTCTAAAAAGGAACAAAGTAAAGACACCTATTAGCACTTCTACTCAACAGAGTACTTGAAGTCCTAACCAGTGCAATTAGAAAAAAAAAGAAAGAAAAGGAAGGGTGGGAGGTACAGAAGGAGGAGAAGAAAGTAATAACACGAATCCAAACCAAAAGGAAAGAAGTCAATTATCTCTATTTATTGATCCACAGAAAAGTCTAAATCAATCTCTCTCTCTCTCTCTCTCTCTCTCTCTCTCTCTCTCTCTCTGTTAGAACTAATGAATAAATCCAGCAATGTGGGATACAAGATACATTTTTGTACACTAACAAATAAAATCCAAAATGGAAATTAAAACAAATATTTCATTTACAAAAGCATCAAAAATAAAATTTACTGGGCCGGAGATTTAGCTCAGTGGTTTCGCCGCCTGCCTCACAAGCACAAGGTCCAGAGTTTGACCCCCGGTACCAAATAAATAAATAAATAAACAAAAATTACTTAGAAATAAATACAACAAAAAATGAGAAAGACTTGAACAATGAAACAAAACTAATTATTAAAAGAAATTAAAAATGATTCCACTGCCTGTCTCAAAAGCGCAAGGACCCAAGTTCAATCCCCGGTACCAAAAACAAAAACAAAAACAAAAGAACAACAACAAAAAAAAACCCCAAAATAATACCATAATAATATATACTAGATATACTTTCTTTCAGGCCTGGGATTTAGCTCAGTGGTTCCAGCACTTGCCTCACAAGCACAAGGTCCTGAGTTTGATCCCTGGTACCAAAAGAAAAAAAAAAGAAATTAAAAATGAGCCAGGCATGGTGGCACATGCCTGTAATCCGAGCACATTGATGCTGAGGCAGGAGGATCACAACTTTGTGGCCAGCCTGGGATACAAAGTTTAAGACTTGCCTGAACTATGTATGGAGAACTTGTCTCAAACAAACAAACAAACAAACCAGGAAAACCAAAGAACTAAAGAAGAAACAAATAAATGAAAAGTCCCTGTCCTTATTGATCAAAAACTATAATATTTTTAATATATCAATATTATCCAAAAAAAACCCAGATCAAATACTATCTCTATCCATATCCAAATGACATTTTACCAGAAATTTAAAACATAATCACCCTAAGAATCATGTATAATCTTGAAGAATACCCCGTATCTGAAACAATTTTGAAAAGAAAACAAAGCTGAAGAATATGTGCTGTGTGGAGGAACAATTTCAGAATATATTACAAATGAACAGTAGTCAAAAGAGTGTAGTATTGGCATAAACACAGACTGATAGATTAAAATAGAAGCCCAGAAATAAACCTCGCATATCTGATCAAATTATCTGTAACAAAACTGTTAGATTGTTCACTTGGAAAAGTAGTTTTTTCAACAAATGGTGCCAGTAAAACTGGATGCCAGTTTCTGGTGCCACAAGCAAAAGAACGAAGTTAGGCTTTAATTTTATGCCATTTTACAGAGTTAACTCAAAATGGATTAAAGATGTAAACATAAGATGTAAAACTCCTAAAGAAAATAGGGAAAGCTTTATGATATCAGATATGGCAGTAATTTATTTTATTTGGCATCAAAAGTATAAGCAATGAAATTAAAAATACATTAATAGGACTACATAAAATTTAAAGCACTTTATTCATCAAAGGAAGCAATCAACAAAGAAAATCTGTGGAATGAAATACAATTCCAAATCATATATCTGATAAATGGCCAATATCCAGAATATATAAAGAACTCCTACTACTCAACAACTAAACATCAACAACCTGATTTAAAAATGAGCAAAGGCATTGAATAAATATGTCTCAAAAGATGATGTACAAATTGTCTCCAGGAATATGAAGTGATATTAAACTGATCACTAAAAGCTACTCCCTAATTATCAGAGAACTGTAAATCAAAATCATAATGAGATACTGCCTTGCACCTTTATGGCTACTAATGAAGCAATAGAAAATAAAAAGTGTTGGTAAGGTTAAGTAAGAATCGGTACTCTTGTGCACTTTTTCTGGGAGTATACTGTGATTCAATCACTATGGAAAAGAGCAAGACGTTTGTTCAAAAATATTAAAGTAGGATTAGCATATAATCCAACAATCCCATTTCTGGGTAGATACCAAAGAGAACTGATACTTACAGTAGCACTATACACAATAGCCAAGAAGTAAAAGCAACCCAAAAGTCCACTGGTGAATGCAGGGATAAACAAAATAAAGTATATAACAGATAATAGAAAATTATGCATCAATATTATAGAAGAAAATCATGTCATATGTTGCCCCTTGGATAAATCCTGAGAAAATAATGGTCAGTGATATAAGTCACTCAAAAAAGGAAAAATACTGATTGATTCAAATTATAGGAAATATCTAAAGTAATAAAGTCATAGAATATAAAACAGTGATTGAAAGTTATTAGGAGTGGAGGAGTGGGAAGACTTGGAAGTTATTATTTAGTGAACACAGAGTTTCAGTTTTGCAAGATGTAAAAGTTCTGGAGACCTGTTTTACAACAGTGTGAATGTACATCAGCACTATTAATCTGTATCCTTTAAAATGGTTAAAATGGTAAAATTTTACTATATTTTTCCACAGCCACAATAAGAAACTTCAAATACTTTGAAGGAAAAACCTGGGAACTGTGCCAAAATTTTTATTTCCTGAAATCAGTCATTTAAATATGTTTATAAACATCCTCTTTAATGTCTCAAAATAAAATGTGAATTGGGTCATTTGGACAACTTCCCTTCTAACACTCTTGCAATGTGGGAATATAAATTTATGAAAAATGAACAGGAAAAATTTGAAACAATAAAATAAATAAAAGGTCAAGACTGGTTGGCACACAGCATAAAGGTGGATATGCAGGAAATGGACCACAGGCATTAAAAGCAGAGTAGTTAATGGGGAAAGAAGTAGACAGACTAAGGGCACATACTGCAAATTTCAGTAGAGTTTCATCGTCTATTAAGGATAGAAAAAAATAAATTACCTTTTGCTACTCTCATATATCTCTTCTATTCCAAAGAATCAAACCCCAAATTAATTTAAATAATTTAAATCAGTTGCATAGAAAACAGTGTTTGCTAAACTGGGATCCAAACATCCATTTCTTACAAGTTTCTATGGAAAACTCATTTCCGAGCACTGACATAAAAATAAAATTTTACAACCCCATTACGGTTAATTTCGGGTCAAATTTCTGGGTGTCATTTCACAAAAATTTAAATTCCAAT